TACGTGAAGAAAAATGTGGCAACAGGATAGGAGGAGGACTCACTAACAACCTGTGATAATGCACATGATACAGCATTGCTTGCTGAAAGTGAAGAGAATTAAAAGTACTTAATGGTGAAGATCAAAGACCACAGCCTTCGATATGGGTTGCCCCTGAACGTAAAGAAAACAATAATCCTCACCACTGGACCAGTAAATAACAACATGATAAATGGAGAAAAGATTGAAGTTTTCAAAGGCTTCATTTTGTTCGGATCAGCCATCAATAATCATGTAAGCAACAGTCAAGAAATTAATGTGTATTGCATTAGGCACATCTGCACAAGACGTTTTTAAAATGTTGAAGAGCAAAGATGTCAGAGGACAAAGGTGTGCCTAACCCAAGCCAAGGTATTTCAGTAATCTCATATGCTTATGAAAGTTAGACAGTGTATAAGGAAACCATAGAAGAATTGATGCATTTGAGCTAAGGTATTGGAGGAGAGTATTAAAATTACCATGGACTGCCAAAAGAACAAACCAGTCTGTGTTGGGAGAAGTACAGATAGACTGCTCCCTGGAAGCCAGGATGGCCAGACTTTGTCTCTCATACTTCAGACATATTGTTAGGAGGGACCAGTCCCTGGAGAAGGATATCATGTTTGGTAAAATGGAGTATCAGAGAAAAAGGGGCAGACCTCCAATGAGATATATTGGCACAGTGGCAGCAGCATTGGGCTCAAATGTAGCAATGAATGTAAGGTTGGCATAGGATCAGGCAGTGTTTCATTATTTTGTGCTTAGGGTATCTTTGAGTGGGTACTGACTTGATAGCAGTTAACAACAACAGCCACAACATATATGTGCTGTGAATCCGTGGATTCTGTTCCCACCCATAGCAAACCTGTGTAGGTTTTTCAAGGAGCGACAGTTGAAATTGACCATGTGGTCTAGCGCAGTATTCTGCAGCTCTACACCAGGACTACATATGTGTATATGTGTTGTTAGATACCCTCAAGTCATATATATGTATGTTGTTAGATGCCATCCAGTCAATAC